ATGTGCTTAATATTAAGTGAATTTCCTACTAAAAGTAGAGGGTTATTACTGGAACTCTTGAAAAGTAACAGGATGACATCCATTTTGTAATTCTTAAATCCTAAGAGCCAACGTAGGATATGTAATCCACCCTTCATTGTGGGAGGTACAAGCACTGTCATATCTATTGATTCTCAAATCAAGTTAGAGCTGGCTCTCTATGGCTGAATAGCTAATTCTTCCTGGTGTCCCTAAGAGATGTGCAAAAGACCTTTACATGTAACTTTGCTGTACACTCAAGCATAACCCCTCAGCTCCATTTCTCTGGGAAACCTCCCTCTCAGAGCTTCATCTGAGCCACTTCTCTTCCAGCAGCCACAGAGCTGTTTTCTAGGACTTCCATCGTCTTCACCCTTGACCTTACCCCACTGTTCTAGGAATCCCTGACTTCGGCATCACCTCATTTACTCTCTCATTTTGGAAAAGCACACCCTCTAGTATCTTCCTGAAAAATAAGGATCATGAAGGGTAAAATGTTTAAGGCTTTGCATTTTTCGAGATTTTATTCTAGATCATAAAAGAAAATAAAACTACGGAAGAAAGGAAATTAGAAAGGCAACATTGATTGAAGAATTTGTGTTAAGATGTAAAGAGAAATAATTTATTAGTTACAGTTTTCTCTGAAGGTATTGTTTTCTTAGTACAGTCAGTTCTTTATAAAATCATACATGTATATATTTAAAGCTTTGCACTCTACAAAAACATACACTAAAAATAACAAGGCATATGGGATAAATAGGGTTGGGGCAGCCCATACTGCTTTATAATAAGAGTACCAACAACAAAAAATTTATTTGTTTAAAAAATGGCTCAGTTAATTTCTGCTACAGATTTAGGGGCATTTGCCTCCAAAAGACCAGATTTATCAAAATTAAAAATCTGATTCAGGAAGCTTCGTCATTTTTTTTTTAAACACAAAGGGAAATATTTTTGCAACTTTCTTATCTGTCTTCACAGCTTCACCAGATAAATGCATGACACTTCTTGAAACCACTAACCCAGCCCTTGGTTTCTCTAAAGGAAGTAAGTTCTGTAGGATCTCTTTCTTAAGGTATTTGTATATTGCTAAGCCTTGTTTTTTAATTGTAGATAAAGTTGTCTCCTGATTTCTTGGAAATCGCATGCAGGGAAAAATTGTATGTGAACCAATAAAACCTCAGCTTTATTACCCTGATATTATTCCCCATTTACTTGTATCTGAGCTAAATCACATTGCTGAAACACTTGTAATAGCAAAAGAAACCTTGGGTTTTGTTCTTTGAAAGACTTCAGGGAATACATTACCCCTAGAATCCTACCACTGTTTTGGGTTTGTTTTTTTTTTAATTTCCTCAATCTTCTCTTCTCCTTTCTTTTTTTTTCTGTACAATCATGGAAAATATGCTTGATTTAATTAAAATTATGTTCAGTTGCACACAGAAACCTAAAATAAAGTGGCTTAAACATAATAAACATTAATTTTTCTCACAAAAAAGAAATCCAGAAGTAAGACTACCTCATGAACTATCTAGGAACTAAACTACAAACTGGAGATTTAATGGTTGAGTAATACTGAATATGTAGAGGGAAGGATATGTGGTAAATACAAGGTTCAGCAAAAGGAATGCCTGCTTGAGTGTGGTTGGTAGGGTAATAATATCAGTGTAATAATTTCTAGTTTTAATTTGAACATTTCACCTAAATGTCATATGGTATACTTGAATGTGATATTGTTTTGTTACAGAATTACGTGCTTATGATTTTGTAATAAAAGATTTCATAATAAAAAGGGGCATTATTTTTGCCAGACCCTGTATAATATAACTTGAGATCCAGCAATTTTTAAGTTGATACATTAATATCATTGTTACAGCTATGCCCAGCTCACAGTATAATGTGTTAGAGTATCAATTGTTGGGAACCATCCTGCCTGGTTTCAGAAACTGTAGCCTCCCCAACAGGTGAGAGGGCCCCAAGGCTGGAGCTGAGCAAGGAGGCCTTGGGAAAATAGGCCACTGAGGAGACAAAATCTGCCCCCCTTGAAAGGGGTGCAGCCCCTGCCTCCCTCACATCACCCTGCTTGGCCCTGGAGGATGGCCAGTTAGTCAATGATGGGTAAGACCTCTTGATGGCAGGGGCAACCTAAGACAGGCACAGCTGCAAGGGGCCATCAGGGAAGGATGTGGGGGACCTGGAGAAGGGGGAAAAGACCCTCACCCCTCGGCTTTGATATGGCCAGGTCCTCATTCTATCTGAAAGAAGTCTCGTTATCGCTTGGCGACTCTGCCCCATCCACCTGGCTCAGGCTTGAAACAATACTAAAGGCAAGGACAGCTGTAAACTGGATCAGGCAGTTCCTGGGGGGAAATCAGGCCTAGAAGTAAGTTCCTTGAAGCATGCTTTGTTCTTCCCTCAAAAGCTATGATAACCAGCTCATGCTGGGAAGGAAATTTACATTATACACAGACTTTGACCTGAAGCAAATCTCTTGTGTTCTTTCACTTGTTATCTATGATTTCTCTTTTCTGTAAACATAGCCTTTTGACATTGATTGATCTTTGCTGTATACCCCTGCTCATATGGTTCTCAATAAAAGCCACTTCAAGAGAAGGGCTGGGGGTGGTGGTGCATTCTCCATTAGAGGGAACTGCCATCCCTCCCCCTGGCAGACTGAGGAAGTGCCTGGAAAACTTATTTTATTTCGTCATCCATGACACCCCGGAGCATACTCTGTGGGACAGAGTCCACCCTCTACCTCAGCTGGCGCCCAGACAGAGACCTCCAGAGTCCTCCTCAATCAATACTGAGCTATCCTTATGGGTGAAGCTATCCAACATAACACTTGTGCCTAATCAAAGGATGGGAACCAGGTATAAACAACCAGTGGAATGATGACACACGTTCAAATAAATTGGAAATTAATGTTTTCTAATGAGTCATGGTATGCTAAATACATTTGTCCTTTGGGAAGCAGAATTAACAAAAAGAAGATAATTAATAAAGAGGTGAGAAATATGCATTAATTCTAGAGTAAGCTATCAGGATCCCATAGTGTATAAAAATGTGACATCTTCCCAGGAAGTTTCAACGCCCATAAAAGTATCAGTTCTCTATTTGTCTTCTAACCAGATGTCTTCAATTTTTAACTGATCCCAGTGATTCATGCCCTCCCTTTTCTACACTGCTAATCCTATGGGAGGTTTGACGGGCTCAGTTTGGGAATCCCGGCATTCTATCACCGCAGCTTTGGAAACATATCCATCCTTGCTTTAAGCTTAAGGGACGGTGGGGCCGTATCATACCACTACTGTTTGGGAAAGTACTGAACAATTCTTACATTGACTCAAAGAACAATGAATGTTGATTTAATATGAAAGCAATTAATGTCATTGTCAATATTGCTTTGAAGGCCACAGTTTGTGAGACGAGGGAAAGTGTCTCTTTGTCAACTGAAGGAAAATAGAACACATCAAAAAAAGAATTTGATGTTTAGATTAAAACTTATGAAAGCCAGAAATTACATCAATGGGTCTGCTAATCTTGAAATTTAGATAATTTTTTATGAATTTAAAGCCAAAATAAAACATTATATAATATAAACCTATTTGTTAAAGCTAACAACAGGGTAGACACATTGCCAAATTAGGAATCTGTTTAGAATTCAAAAAGGGTGATCTCTAAGCAGCTGGGTAAAGCTAACCCTGTGTGATAATCCTACCTTTGTATGTCATTATTTCATTAATTTTATGTTGCAACTGAGCTAGACAATAGTTATCTTCTGTCACTTTGTCTTGGGTAATAGTCAAACATAAGGACTTACCATGCTCTAAATATGCACCCATCATTTTCCTATCAGTAAAAAGTGCTGTAAGGTATAACATGCCAAGGAATCTTTGGAAATTGAGTCTTGCAAGCCACAGCTTCTTGTCAATTTGCCATGTCACAGTATTTCATTTGTGAAAAAAATGTAGATGACATACATTTTCACTGAGGAGAGCATAGTTCCACCAAATTTCAGCCATCTTCTCCTCAAGAGGAAATGTATGTAAATTATAGGTAAGGGGGAAAAGAAATACGTGTATGCGATGCATTGCTAAATGATAATATCTTGTTATAATGATTTAGCAAGTCATGGAAATTAACTCGGCCTTGCTCTTATGGACCATATCTTATAGAAAATCAATGAAATATGTTTTTCAGTGCTTCTAGTGAGAAAATGAAGTTTTCTCTGCTAATCACTGCTAATTATCAAGCTACCTTTTTTGTTTGTGTCCCTCCTGAGATACAGAAAGGAAGCTTCTTCACTATACAGAGACCTCTGAAACATTGTGGTAAAGGAGTCTAAATGTAATGTGGTGGAGAAATCAGAGCAGAGAATATCCATGTACTTAAATGTATCTTAAGTAAAAAAATAGATGGAACTATCTTGAAAAATTATTGCTCTTGAGGTCTCTCTTGGCATTCTGAATCTCACTGCTTTATGAAAAAAAATTAACTTGGAAGAGAAAAACAGTGTGTTCTCAATTTTTGGTCAAGAATAATTTTAAAGCAAGGCTTAAATAGTATTCAAGTGAAAATATAGCCTTAAAAACAAATACTAGAAAACTAGAAAGACTGAAAAAAGAACTAGGCATACAATACAGGAAGACAGGCAAAGTATATGAAGTATCCCCAAAGAAAACAGAAGGAAGGAATCAATAAATATAAAAGCAAGACTTAATGAAATAGGAAACAAAAAACATAGACTTGACTAATGTATTGAAAGGTTGTTCATTAAAAGCTCACTAAAATAGATAAATATGATCAAGAAGAAAGAGAAGATAATACAGACAACAGCAAAAACAAGAAAGGGATATAGGTCTGGGCACAGAGATTTTTAATGTTATAAGAAAATACTTTTTACACCTCTATCAACACACTGGGAAATTTAGGTAAAATGATTACTCAGAAAAATGTGTTGAACCAGTTTATTGAATAAGCTCTGCTCTTTAGGCATGACAGACTAAAACAGCTCAGTATTTTCTGTATAGCCAAGTTTTGCTGGCAGATCCCATAGTTCTTCTTGCTTTAGTTGTAGTCCTATCTATTTTCGAAGTTTGACATTTTTGTGCAATTTAAGAACTTCTTTTCCACCAGATAACATCTGACTGACGTAAGCTTGGAAACCTGCAGTAAGAAAAAGAGGTAAGGTGCAGTTTATCTTCTCATTCCAACTCCAATCTCACTGGATGGTTGCTGTTTGTACTTCCTCCTTACCCACCCTCCACTCCAAGTCAGGCAGCAGAGTGGTGGGTGGAGTCTTAGAAACAGAAGCAGCAGTCATCTGGCCTCAGGCGACTCAGGTCATCCCTGTTTCTATTTTGGTGCTTTCTCTGAAGGTATGTTTAGTACATTGTTAGAGCCCTGGCCTTGGGAGATCTCCTCTCAGCAAGCCCCTACTTGTAACCCACCATCCACTCTTGCATTCTGGTTTCCTCTTGCAGAGACCTCTCCTGTTGGAGCTATCTCCCTCCTCCAGGCTGTCCTTTTGGGGCATGCCCTTATCAAAGCGACTCCACACCAGGGCTGGGCCCTGCCCAATTCTAGAAGTGTAGGCTGCTTCTCATGAAGCCTTCTCTCTTCTCCGTCACCCCAGTGGTTTCAGCAGGCCTTACCTGTGTCATCCAAATGCTCGAGGCACAGGACAAGCTTCTGGGGTTGTTCTTTGAAAACTCCTCACTTGGTTTGAGACAACGGGAGAAAGACTTTCAGCCTTTTTCCACCTGGGGAACACATAGCACATTGGCAACTGTCACTGTAGAAACCTCATCCCTGACCTCTCTTCAAAAATTTCCTTACTTCCACTAAAAGCCTTAAAATACTAGATAAGATATAATAATTTTCCTTTCGAATGTCCAGGAAAGCAATTTTTTCTTGGCAATACTTTCCCTTAGGATGCACGCAGCCTTCTGAGGGCCTGGCTTCACAGGCCATGGCTGCAGTGTTCTGCGTTGAGCAGACCAAGAAATCCTCACTCCCGCACCATTCCGACCCTCTGTTTTCACTTGGTTTGGCCCCTGAGCATTTCTTCCCCTTTCACTTTTAATAGTCCAGCTTAGTGCCTAAAACACAGAGTTGGTAGAGTTGGGAAATAAATACTTGAGGTATATGTGAGTCTCGGGGGATGATGTTGGAGAATGAATGGATCAGGAAAACACACAATATCTAGGGTGAATATGAATAAGGAAAACACTATTTTATTATTGTTACTGTTTATCTACTGAATTCCGAGGCAAGTGTAACCTGGATAAATACAGATTATGTGTAGAAATGTTGAAAAAATAAACACTGCATACTCATTATTCCATTACCCAAAGTTAACTATTCTTAGTGTGAAATTTAAACATCATCATTAATTTGCTCAATTTTTCTTAAAAAGCCGAAGTTTAGGGTGAGTCATTATTTACAAATAATCATAAACAACTAAGAACTGGAGTTATTATAAGGCATTTATGATGTTGCCAAGTGGTAAAGGAAGGGGGGGACGTGGCGGGCCCAGAGACAAATGAGAGATAACCTTGGCCTCATTTGGCAGTCACCTGCTTAAACTCTTGGGTTTTCACCAGGTTCTTAAAGGAGAGAATTTTAGTTCTTGTCATCAACAACATACATGGACCCTAAGGAACCACTTAATCCAAAGAAGTTTGTATTGTTCCCAAACATCATTCAGAAAAACAAGTACAAAATCCCATTTGCTCACCAGTGGATTCTAATGTTGTGTGTGTGTGTGTGTTTTGTTTGTTTGTTTGTTTTAATGATTGATTTGAGAGAGAGAGAGAAGAAGGGAGGGAGAAACATCAGTTTGCTATTCCACCAATCCATGTACCCAGTGGTTGCTTCCTGCAGGTGCTCTGTCTGGAGATCGAACCTGCAGCCTTGGAAGAGTGGAAGGACACTCTAACCAAGTGAGCCACCAGGCCAGGGCTGGATTCTAGTTTTATTTATTTTTTATTTTTTTAATTTTGCTTTTTTTATTAAAAAATTTTTAAATATATTTTATTGATTATGCTATTACAGTTTTCCCATTTCCGCCCCTTTATCTCCCTCCACCCTCCACCCTCCAGCATACCCTCTACCCCTTAGTTCATGTCCGTGGGTCATACATGCTATAGGTGCTCTCCCTCCCAGGCACACGTGGTCACCATTCCCCTCCTCCCGCTTCTTACCTCCCCCGGAGTGTTACCTTTACATGCCTCTCTCCTAAGCTCCAAAAACACCTACTTTGCCTCTGTATCTTGTTTCCTGAGCCCATTTCTTCTACCACTCACATTTTCTACTCTTGTGACTTTCTATATAAACTCTCGTATCAAAAAAAAGTGTTGCTATACATTATGGCACTGTTAAAAACTGGTTCCAACTGACCGCACCGAAGGCTGACAGAAATGTGGAAAAATAGGAACTCTTATTCATTGTTGATAAGAATGCAGAATGGTACAGCCACCCTGGAAGACCATTTGTCAATTTATTATAAAGTTAAATATAGTCTACCATATTATCCAATAATCATACTCCTATGAATTTTTCTAAATGAGTTTAAAACTTACATTCACACAAAAACCTGTACACAAAGGTTTATAGCAATTTTATTCATAATTGCCTGCAATTGGAAACAACCAAGATGTCACTCAATAAGTGAATGAATAAACAAAGTGCAGCACATCTCTATTCGACAGGATTCTTCAGGGATACACAACCAAAAGTATATATATGTAGATATATCCTATTGAGAACCAGGAGGTTTGATGGTATAAGTTCCAGTCTGAGCCCAGAAAAAAAATGATGTCCCAGCTTGGATACCCTCAGGCAGAAAAAGTGAATTCTCTATAGCTCAGTCTTCTGTTTTATTCTAGCATTTATGGATCAGATGAAGCTTGCCCACATTAGGGAAGGTTACCTGCTTTACCCAGTCTACTGATTCAAATTTTAATCTCATCCATGAACACCCTCACAGACATACCAAGAATCATGTCTAACTAAGTACTTGACACCCCATAGTCCAGTCAAGTTGACACCTAAGGTGAACCTTCACAATATCCATACAGTGGAATATCATTCGGCAATAAAAAGAGCTAAATTTTACCCTTTGGGACAGTATGGATGGACCTGGAGAACATTATGCTAAGTGAAATAAGCCAGTCAGAGAAAGACAAGTACCGTACGATTTCACTAGGTGGAAGCTAATGAACAAACTGAACTAATAAGCAAAACAGAGACAGACTCATAAATGGAGAACAGATGACAACTATTGAGGGTGGGGTTAGGGGGTAGAGGGATTGAGCAAAAAAGAAAAAGGATTCATGGGCATGGACAACAGAGGGGTGATTGCTGGGGGGAGATGGGGAAAAGGGGACTAAATGGTAATGGAAAAAGACATAATAAAGGTTATATATTTTTTAAAAAGACAGAGAAAACTTACCACATTTTTTCATGTATAAGATGCTACCATATATAATGCTCACCCACAATTTTAGCCCAAACTTTCAGGGAAAAATGTCATTATAATTTTTTAATTCACATTTTTATTTATTTATATTTAGAAACAAAACTGATTATTGTATTCCAAGTAAGTATTTTGCATATGGATATCATTATTGCTTTCTAGGGTCACACTTTAAATATATAAGCATAAATAGAAGAATTAAAAACATTTATATAGATACAGAATTAGTACTACCCATGTATAATGCACATCCTTATTTTTTCCTCAAAAATTTGGGGAAAAATGCATATTATATGTGGCAAAATATGGTAAATGCATATTGTAAGAGAAGGAAGTCAATCTGAAAAGGCTACATACTATACGATTTCAACTGTATGAGATTCTGGGAAAAGGAAAACCTAGAGGAAGAAAAAAATGATCAGTGGTTGCCAGGGGTTGTTGGGGGAGGCAGTAATGAACAGGTGGGGCAGAGCAGGAGGGATTTTTAGGGCAATGAAACTATTCCATCCAACTCTACAGTGATGGACACTTGGCAGTATGCATCCGTCAAGACGCATAGAACTATACAACACAAAAGGTGAATCCTGATGTAAACTATGAACTTTAGTTAATAATGTTAACCTAAAAATAAAAGACCAAAGGAAGAGGCTACAAGCATTTATTGGAGATTCAAAAGAATTTGGGAAACTCTCTTCAAGCAGAAACCTAGTTTTCTAGTTTTTCTAGTTTCACCATCTAGTTTCTAGGTGGTGAAGGCAGAGAGGTATTTATGAGAAATGGAAGGGGAATAATTATGTAAATAGAGGAAAGGAATTTCTATGGGTTCAGATAAGCTAACATAGCGACGCCAATTCTAAAGAATGTTTTAAATTTTCAGTCCCATGGTCTTATCTGCTTTTCTGTTAGCTTTGCAAATAGTTGTTTGGAATACTATGCTTCTTTAAGCGCAGTTCAAAGGTTATTTTGGCCATTTTTAACATTCCAAAGACGTGAGGAGTAAGACCTGCAAGGCTGTTCCCCTGGCACGGCAGTTCTGACTCCATTTTAAAGTGGATTGGCTAATATCATTTTTTACAATAATAGTGTATCAATATGGCTTCATCAATTATAACAACCATACCACATCAATTCAAGACAATAATAGGAGAAACTGTGGGCAGAGAGGATATATCTGAACTCTCTGGACTTTCTGTTTAATTGTTTTGGTAAATGTAAACCTGTCTTAAAAATGAAATCTATTAGTTAACAAACAAACATAAAAAAAACTGGTTTTATACAACCAGATGTATCCTTGTGATATTGCTATTTGTATGAATTCTTTTGCAGGCTGCAGGGTGTCTTAGACTTGATATTTTATTTTGGGCTTTTAAAATTTTTATATTCACATATGTAGTTATTTTTCTTACGTCTAGCTGTCTTACCTAAGGACGATGAATTCAGAGGCTTTTTCTGTCTCAGGTATAAAATGGCCAGACACAGCTCTTGACCACAAACATCCAAGCTTTTCTATTGAACCATAGTCTCCACTATGGATTTTGTCTTCCATTTTGGTGAGTTTTTATTTCCTGCTAGAAAATAAAAACTCTAACTAAAATAAAAACGCTAAGCTAACTTAGATGAATTTAAATCTCATCATAGATTTACAGGATTTTATAAAAAGTAAGAAGAATCAATCAACCTTCAAGAAACAAAACATTTAACAAATCCAGACTCGGAGATGACCAAGATGCTGGGTATTGACAGAGAATTTTAAGTAACCATCATTAAAATGCTGAAAGATCTAGTGGCATAAATGGACACTGAGCATTAACAGAAGGGAAATTTCATTAGAAAGACAAAAGCTATGAAACAGTCAAGTGGAAATACTAGAAATAATAAACCTGAGACTGGAGATGAAAATTTTCTTCAATGAGCTTATAGCATCCTGGAAACAACAGAGGAAAGAATCAGTGGACTTGAAAGTAAGCCAGTAGGAATCATACAAACTAACATAAATGTAATTGGAGTCCCAAAAGAGACTGAGAGAATAGTAGAAAAATGTTTGGAGTGATAATGGCTAAAAAATTTCTAAAATTAATGACAATACAAGGTAGAGATACAAGAAAAAAAGAAACTGTAAAAACATCATTGTCAAACTGCTAAAAACCAAAGTTAAAGGAAAAATCTTGAAGGCAGTCAGATGAGGAACATTACATGTAGAACAGCACCACGATCTGGTATGAGTCAAGCATCCATTGTGACTGGCAGTCTGATCAATGCTGGGTTTCTTATCTTTGTCCATAT